AATTAGACATTGTGTTAAACCAGAAGGTATGCATGAGCACTCTTTCCTTGAAATGATGTTCAAACAAAAGGACGTAATGCTGTGACCTGAGCAGCAGAACTTGACCACCACAGCCACAGCTTCTTTCACGTCCTTGCAGCTTGCAAAACCAATGATCACGTCCTCATTAACAGACTCTGCCCCCTTAGTTTCAGAAAAACCAGACTTCTCTTTCATTTGTTCCTCTTTCTTCTCCCTTTCAGTCTTCTTAGCACAAGAGATGAGAGAGTACATTTTCTTTACCTAACAGTTGTCTCCACTTTGATGTCCCACAGCCATCTCAAACTCAAGGAGTTTAACTAAACTACACACAATATCATTCCGTGATTCTGTGATCTCTACCTATCCATGTGCACTAACATCTATCCGACTGATCTTGAAAAAACATTCTTAGTAATTTTTCCCCTTTGCCTTCCCAAAATTGGTTCAATCATTATGTACCATGTATTCATTTTATTTTATTTATTTCTAATCTCCGAAATATCTCCCTTCCTTCTAATTTTTCTAAACACTGTCTCACTATTTATTTTTTCAAAATTGCATGATATCATGTCTGGAGTTCACACTAAAATGATCTTCTGCCTTTCAACCTAAAAATTATTTTTCACACTGTCACTAATTTAGTCTTTCGAAAACAAGAGCCTAATAGTATTGTTCTCATACGTAAAATGATATCATTTCTCAATTTCTCCTCCAAGATAAAATCCAAACTCTTCAGCATAGTGTATAGCCTTTTTCAAGTCTCTCCTGCTGGACATTTCCAGAATTGATTAGTTTGGATACTGCTAACTGGTACAGCAAGTTTCAATGGATTTTTTTCAATAGAAGTTTATTTCTCCCTTACATGACTATCAACATGGGGGCTTCTGCTGGTTTTATCCACATGGTATCTTGGGGTAGACGGGTCCTTTGCTTTGTAGCTCTGCCATCAAACTTAACTTCTCATCATCTTCGGCATTGAGTCAATGAAGGGGAAACAGCATGGCGAAGGCTTCGCAACTTCTAACTTAAGCTTACCTTGGAAGTAACACATTTGTTTCTTCTTCTCACACTCTGTTGGCTGGAATTCCATCCATACCACAGCCAGCTGCAAGGAAATGTAGTCCTAGGTAGACAGCCACTTCTCAGTGACAATTCTGCTCCATGGAAGAGAAAACACAAATATGAGTTAACAGTTAATTGTCTCTTCCTCAAGATCAGGAGTATCTGTCAACTCTTTATCTTGCTCCCTCTAGCGCAGTAGCTGTACTTAACTGTGTGTATTCTTTATGTAAACCATGGCCTTCCTTTGCTCATGGCTATCTCCTTCTCCTCTTTCAAAACTTGACTGAGGAATCTTTTCTTACAGAAAGCCATCTCTGAACTGTTCTTTCTGATTAATATTCTCCCTATGTGTTCTATATTTTCCTTTTATGGTAGGTATTTGGAAAATCTTGAGAGACTCAGTTCTATGCATCATCACTTAAAAATGCCCATTTCCCTCTTTTTCAGTAAGACTTTAAAAATGTGGATAAAGAAAATAAAATCTGACTCATTTAGAGTGACTTATTAAAAACTTATGAAAATATTTTCATTAAAATAAGAAGATTTAAGATTTTATAGATAGGTTTAATCATTCATCTGGTGATATACAGTTTGTTAAAGAGGAGCATTTTGTTTGTTTTAATCTTTAGAGAGAATCCCTAGAAGAGGGTATAAAGATTTCTTGCTTAATTAATAGCAACTCATTTCCCTCTGTTTCTGGGAAGACACCAGACCATCTACCAGCCTCTCTTAAGGTGACATCTGGCCTTACAACTGAGTTCTGACAAACCATGTAAACAGAAGTAAACTGTCAATTTCAGGCCTCACCCACAAAAACCTCCCATATGCAAACCTCTTCTCCTTTCCTCTGTTAATAGACTCAGTGTCAAAGCCCAGAACCACCTGGGAAGCCAAATATCAAGATGCCAGTGTTCTGTTAGCCTGAATCTCTGAAGAATGCTGTGAGCAGAGTTTGTCCTGCTTCTCTGCCACTACCAACACCAGGGAAGAACTCTTCCACTCAGTTGTTATGCAGTTAAAACAACAGCAACACTTTTATTGTGTTATGGTGTTGACGTTTGGGGATTGGTAATGCTGTCAGCATTACCCCAAATAATATTGTCCAATGACGAGGACCAAAGAATTTGTGTTGGTATTCTAATTTGAAAATTAAAATCCTTCGCTATGACTAATTTCTCCAATTAAAAAAATTTTGCCCTAATTTAGTTGAAAATGAGGCACCCAGAGGTCAGGACCAGTGATGCAAAGTGAAATCCTTCTGTTGCTATTTCCCATAAAACCCTGTTACACCAGTTCCCCTTTGGAGCTGTGGATGTCTTGGAGCTATTGGTTACAGAAGTTAAGCTAGACAAGAAAAAGCTATAAGAACAAAAAAGAGGATCTGGGGAGGAATACACTTAAAGTCCTTAATGCCATGATGCTTGTGACTGCAAATAACCTTCCACAGCTTAGACAAAAAGCCAGAACCAGAAAGAGCCACAATGATAGTGTAAAATTAAAAAGAAATAAACCCCACGAAGGAGAAAAGGATGGCAATAAAAAGCTTGCTTGTTTTGAGTATAAAATCATGGGAAAAACAAAAATAAATACACTCACAGAGTCTATAACTGTAAGCCAGCCTTCATATAACAAGTCATCGGCAGCTACCTAAGTCCAGGGTCAGCATCATCACATTTTGGTTCCACCATCCTCAAGACTGTTCTTTTCTTATGGTCTCAGGATGGCCGTTACCTTTCCACATATCACAAGAGAAGGAGGCATATACATACAGAGGAGGGATCTTCAAAAAGTTAATGGAATATTCATATTATGAAAAAACTATGCATGAATTTCACAAATTTTTTGCACCAAAATAAACTCATACAAACTTGCATAACGTGTGTCAGGCTCTTTTACCTTCCCATAATCCTGCTGACTGGGCCAACTGTCAAGCTAGGTCTGGGTCTGGAGCTCACAGACCCCTCAAGCCCGTTCACAGACTGGGTCACAAACCCTTCACATGCCAGGCTGGGTAATCAGACCCCTCACATGCAGGTCTATGAGCTAGGTAACTGGCCAAAATGTCCTTGGAACCGTAGGTTCGAGAGCATGGCCACACATGGTGGATGCCCGAGGCAGACACCAGCCAAGCCGTGGCACTGCACATGTGCATTAACTCCACCCACGCACACACAATTTGCTTACAAAGAATGTGCTGCACCATGCCCAACCATCTGTAAGTCTAGGGGACCTGATTAAATTATTCTGTTTTCCCAAAAAATATGTCTGAACAGAATCTAGTTTGAGGCACGAAGAAGGATAAGACATTGGTTTGAAAACAGCCCCTATCAGAGCAACATGAATTCTGCTAAAATTGAAGCAAGAACAAACATCAAATTTATGGTGAGGTTTGAGTGGAAGAATTGTAAAAACATTGATGCTTTACAAATTTTATGGGGACAATGCTCCAAAGCAGGCAGCAGTTTATAAATGGATAACTCATTTAAGAAGGGACGAGGCAATGTTGAGTGGAAAGCTTGCTCAACTTTTTCAGTCAGAATTGTGTAAGCTAAACCCATTGAAATAAGATAGTACTTTCCATTCAGAGTAGCAAACGTTTAAATTGATATTCTAGAATTGGAGATGTGTGGAAAAATAAGCATTTTCATGATTTATTAGCAGAATAATAGAACGTTACAGTGTTGTTTATGGTGTACAGAAAGATATGTGCAAAGATAATAACCAGAGAATAATTTGTAATTGTAAAAATTCAGAAACAATATAAAACTAGATTATGAGATCAATGATACAGTTTTGTATTAGAGGCATAGAAATTTCCAAGATGCATTGCTAGGTGAAATAAGTACATCAGAGAACAGTTCGTGTAAAATAGTTCTATTTTTGTAAAAAAAAAAAAAAAAAAAAAAAAAAAAAAAAAAACCTCTATGCAGTATATGTTTGCATAGACATAAAACTTTTACTGAGTGTTTTTTTCTGAAGATTAAAAAAATTAAACCCTTCGTAAATGTTTAATTTTTTTAATCTTCATAAAAATCCTGTGAAATAGATATTATTTCTACCCTCACTTTACAAATTACAAAAGAGGCATGGAGATTATTAAGTAACTTTCACAATGTCATAGAGGTGGGAAAATCAAAACAAAGATTCAAACACAGGTGACCTGGTTTTCCTCCCTTCTTTTTCATCTTATTTTCTCCATTTCTTTCTCCAGCTTCCTCCTTTGCACCCCCTTTTTTTTCTTTTCTTCCCCCACCTCTCTTAGTAAATCTTCAAATGTCTGTCAACCTTGGTTAGCAGGGAAAATGGGAGAAAATGGGGAGTGGAGAGGGTAAGATTTCACTTTTTTTTCTCCATATAAAGCTTTAGTGTTTGCACGACCACATATTACTTTTATAAAAAAAAAATATTTAAAGACTTAAAACCAGTGAAAACTTTAGTGCAACAAGTATTTATTTGTTTTATGCTGATGTGCCGGTTGCAAGGCTCCCAAATTAGGTTCTATACACCTGATCACTTGAACACTTAAAACGTATTGAAAAGGCCTTTTGATGGAAAGAAAGAGGAACAGAGCAAAGGCTAGAAAGAAGAGTGACCTTACAGAGAAACAATCTTGACCCCTCCTCATTTGAACTCTAAGCAGCTTTCTGGTTTCGCTTTGAGAAGACATAGGAATCTGAGTGATAGAGGTCAGGCCAGAGTAAAGGGAGGTCCCTGGGGAAGGACAAGCCCCAGCTGATGACTTTCCATTTCCAGGTGGTGTGGACATCCCAGTTCATGCTCACCCTTAACCACAGGACAACGTTCAGGGAGCCTCTCCAATGAGCAAGAAAGTTGGTGAGAGTAGGGGAGCAGCAGCTCCACGCTCAGTGGCAGCAGTCCCTCCTCCACTCCTCCAGCCCAGCTCCCTTTCAGCAGCAATGACGCAGGACCCTGGGCACATGCGGGGGACCAGGGGTGGGAAACCCTGTTACACACGTAGGATCCAGGAAACAAAACCAGAATCTGCCACAGGTGCTGGTGTGAGGTCACTGTGAGTCCCCTGAGGCCTCTCCCCTTTGACTTCAGGGGAGTCGTACAACAGCTGTGCCTGGCAGCCAGGGGCCCAGGGATGGGGAGGAGGCCCCCTCCAGAGGATAGGCACCCAGACCTCAGTTTGCTGGAGGTAGTTCTGGAAGAGCTACAACCAAGACTGGGTGGGTTGCTTTCTGTGTCACCTCCCCTGGGGTGCAGGGTGTCCATGGATTATGGGGAGGGGCTCTGGCCCACTCATTGTGTTGGCTCAGAGGGTGGGCAGGGATCCCAGGGGCCTGGGGAAATGACACAGGAAGTGGAGCTGAGACTCAGCAAGGGCCCCCAGCTGGCCCGGGGAACACCTGGCCGCCCCAGAACCACTCTAATGACAAGGCGTGTCCTGTCTGAGAACACCTCCAAGGGCTCTGCTCCCCTTTAGCTAAGCTGCCA